GCGAGCTGGAGGAGAAGGCAGCGCAGCGGGCAGCGGAAGCGCCAAGGGTGCCGAGGTCACACGTGACCTGCGGGGCGCCCGTGGGCGGCGGCAAGGGCGGCCACCGCGAGGGACGGCCAAAGAAGGGTGGCGGGCAGCGAGAGCCACAGAAGGCGTGGAAGTGGCGGGCGAGAACACGGCCGGCGGGTGCCCGGCGGGACAGGCCGAAGAGTGAAGGACGCCGAGGGAGCCGAGGTCGCGGATGACTTGCGAGGCAGCCCGGACACGGCGCAGAACGAGGCGCGCGAGCGGGACGAGGGCCGCGAAGACGGACCCGTCTGGGGCAGGAGGGGGGGGGAGAACCACTGCCCAGGGCAGAGGCAGCGGGCGATGCGGCCCGACCGAACTTGCAGACGACAAGCGCTCCGATGCGAGGTGGCCGGTGACGGCGGGGGCAGGCGCCCACGCCCGTACGCGGCAGTGGCGGAGCGGGGAGGGGCACGCGGGCCGACGCGCGAGCAGGAGAGCCGAGGCGAGCGGCAGGGGCGGGGCGGGCACCGGCGCCCAGGAAGGGCCACGGAGCGGGGGCGGGCGCCTCCCAGCCCGGAGGGAGGGAGGGAGGGAGGGAGGGAGGGAGGGAGGGAGGGAGGGAGGGAGGCGGAGGAGGAGGAGGACGTCTTATATTAGTAGGAGGAGGAGAGGGAGGAGGGGGAGGAGGAGGGGGACGGCGGGGCGGAGCGGCAAGACCAGCCCGCCCCCGGCCTAGAGAGCCAGCGAGACGGCCGGGGGCAGCACTCTCTGAGGAGCGGCGCCCGCGCAGTGAGGGCACAGGAGGGGCGAGGCGGGCGGAGGGAGCGGCGGGGGCGGCGGCAGCGCGCGGCGCCCCGCAGGTTGGGGGGGACAAGCCAGCGCGGCGGCGAGGCCAGCAGGTGGAGGAAGCGGCGGAGGAAGGTGGCGCCGTGTCGGCTGGGGTCGCGGGGTCGCGGGTGCCGCCACTGCACTGAGTGCCATACGCCTCGGGACGCACCCGCTCTTGGCCATGCTCCCTGTCGTCGGAGGTGGGCGAGCCCCAACGGGAGAGTGGGCGTCCAGCGAGGCAGCGCGGAGGCCTTTGACGAGGAGCGAGAGCTCCCGCTGGGTATGGGTTCCCGACGGGGTGCCTATCGGCAGTGCCATGCAGGCGGGTTGCCGCCGCGGCCCCGGCTGACTGCAAGGATGGTCGCCGCGCGCCGCCCCGTCTGGGCTGTGACGTTTGGTCCCCCTGTGCAGGATGGTGAGACGGCGTTCCGATTCCCAGCCGTGGTGACGAAGGACAGCCGAGCTGCACGTCAGTGTGCCGCTGGTTCCTGATATCCTTCCCTGGCGACGACCGAACGCGCCTCGCACACACGCACGCACGCGCACGCGCACGCGCACGCGCACGCGCACGCGCACGCGCACGCGCACGCGCACGCGCACGCGCACGCGCACTCGCACACGCACACGCACACGCACAAGAACCCCCCCCCCCCCCACACACACAGACCAGACACATACGCAGACAGAGCACAGACACATACACGGGCACAGACACCACATCCCGACAGACTACCGTCACACAGACACACACCACACTACACCGCCCCACAACACACACCACACACTCAGCTGCACACACTCACGCACCGCACGCACCGCACATACATACATACATTCACAGTACATCTACATCTACATCTACATCTACATCTACATCTACATCTACATCTACTCTACATCTACATCTACATCTACATCTAACTATCGACATTTCATCTGCATCTAACATCTACATCTACATCTACATCTACGTCTACATATACATCTACACATATACGTTGCAATACACGCGTGCATACATGCACACATTCGTGTAGGTGTTACACATGTAAGCATATTCATTGGTGTGAATGTATCTTGGGCTTTCCATATATGTGTGTAGCTCGGTATATACGTGTGTATATATATATATATATGTATACATGTATCGATATCGACATTTACACACAAACGTTGCTAACCAGCGTGCCCCCAAACAGTGTGGTTATGGCCATCTACGGTCTGCAATCTATGTGGCGCAAGATGTGTAATACAAGGTCTGAGGTGCAGCATCTTCGGCGCAATCTATGTCGTGCAGCCTTTGGGGTGCGATAGGTTGTGACATCTACGTTATGCTACATAGGTCGTGCGATCTATGCTGGGCAATCTTCGTTTTTGCAACTTATGCAGAACACTATATGTGGTGCATCACGTGCATGTTGTGCAATATCTGCGGTGCAACTATCTGGTGCGGTTTGTGCTGTGCAGCTATGGTGCGATTATGTGGTGCCATCTAGGTTGGGCAACGTACGTGGTGCAATCCATGTTGTGCACTCTACGCGGTGCAATTCATGTGGTGCAATATTTTCAAAAACGGAAGCCAGGAGTTGTCAACTACAGTGCTCGCGCAATCATGCCACCCACCCACCCGCAACTTGGTTTGCGAAACCCATATGGCGGCGATTGTGATGATTGCTTGGTGCCAGCGGGTGCATCTTTGCGCCCGCGCAAGCCCGCGCAGGCTCGCGCGCACAGCGTCCAGCAAGTTTTGCGCGACCGACGCGACCGCGGTGGCGCTGACCGCTGGGCACGTCTAACACATCTCGCAGGCCGCGCAAACGCGCGGGCACTTCAATGCGAGTCGGTGATTTCGGCGGGCGTGGTGTCATGGCGACGTCGGCAACGGCTGACACGATGATGATAGTAATGATGTTGGTGGTGATGTTGTATCCGCAGTGACGTGTCAACGCTAAGTTTCGCGCAATCATCCCACCCCCCCCACCCGCAGCTCGGTCTGCAAAACCCATGCTGGTGTGATTGCGATGAGTGCGTGGAGCTGGCTGGTGCATCTTCGCGGCCGCGCTAGCCCGCGCACGCTCACGCGCACATCGGCCAGCAAGATTGTCGCGGCCGTCTCGACCATTGCGGCATTGATCGCAGATAACTTCCAAAAGCGTCTCGC